AAATAAAAACCATGACTTTATCTTCATTGTTGTAGTTGGCTGCTACCCCTCCAGGCATTGCACCGATGATCTCAGCAGCAAGAAGCTAAAAGCTGAAAAGTTCTTGGAGTATAACAACCAGGTGTGTCCCACTCACCACATTTTCAGGAAAGCCTCCACCCAACAACTTCCACTTATGTCATTATCAGACTCAACTCTCATGGCCACTCTAAGTCCAAGGGAGTCTTGGGAAGGTGAGGTGGGCTTATTTCCATCTCAGACAAAATTGGGTTTCTTTTAGTTAGAAAGGAGAAAATGAATGTTGGGTAGGCAACCAGCAATGCCTACCCAATATTAAATATCTTATGGAAAGTGCTAAGCACAGTGCCTAACACATAGTTAACTGCCCAATAGAAGTTAGGCTATAAATACTACTGTTATAATTATTATTGTTGTTGTTATTCACCTTTCTTACTCTCTGGCCAAATGGAATAACTCAATATCCATGTGTGCCCCTACGTTTTTATGGTATCCCTTGCTCTATCTGCATCTCCAACTCTCCCTGCTTTAAGGTCCAGGAAAATGCCATTGCATCCAAGAAGTCCTTCCTTACACTTATTCCTAATGATAAGTTTCATGGTGGCAGGACCCACATCAGATAAAAACTGTGTTCACCAAAGTTTTTAGAGACTGAACATTGTCTCTTGGAACACAGTAGGTTCTAATAAATAATGCCTTAATAATTTAAGTAATTCATATGTATACACCAACCTGCTTTACAGCCAGCCCTCTAAAATCAAACACAGTATATTCCTGAAATGCAGAAGTTAAGCACCAGGTTTATATGTCACACAGCCAGCAATGGGAGTAAGGGGATGAAAATTGCATTCCCCAAGACAAAGAAAAAATTAGAAAAGCCTCTCACCATAATTTTTACATGCTGTTGGAATCTGGATCATAGTTCATCAGATATTCGCTCCCTTACTGTGAACAGAGTCTACTTTTACACACAAGTTTTGTCCAAAATAGTGCTTTGTCCAAAATAGGTTATCAGTGAAAGTGACATTTGCTGGTGCAGTTTGCCTCTTGGCTCCAGTGATCTGCCAGGAGAAGAGTATGCCCCAAGTAGCTGCCATCCCTTCAGCCTGGGCCCCAGGACACATGTGGAGCAGACTGGAACCCAACCCACAGCCTCTGCACAGCCACCCCAAGGAGCCCAACCTATACCAGCCAAATCACGGTCAACCTGAAGACCCATGAGTGTGAAAATAAATACCTGTTGCTGTAATTCGGAGTTTTGTTACACTGCCAAAGCTGACTAATATATCTTATCATTTGATATATGTTAGCATGTCTTATATCTTCATTCACTTTGTTCCTTTTCTTCACATAAAAAGAACAGGCTAAAGAATCTCCATGTTTTGTACATCCAGAGATTTCTACCTTTGGATCAACTATTTTAAATTTATGAGACCCACATTACCATGAATATTGGTGCTTTTCTGTGTTTTCCATTCATCCTATGTTTCTAAACTAAGAAAATCACAATAAAATATAAAGCAATAGTGTAAACATTGCTGAAACAGAAACTGTTGGCTGGCAAGTAGGTGCCCCATGGACCAGCCAAAATGTTAACTGGTTAGCAGATTAAAAAAAAAAAAAAAAAAAAAAAAAAAAAAAAAAAGGGCTAGAGGATGTCCTAGTAAAACAAGCAAATGCAGATTGTACAAAAGTCAACCTAACCAAAGTCAAAGACTCTTTAGGTAAATTTGTGGACTCCAACATCATTCACCTTATTTTTCAGGATACCTGTTTTGGCAAACCTTCACCACTGAGTTTCACCAACGGGAAGAGACTGATAAGGCTTACATCTTGTAGCTTTTCCAACATATTAAAAACAAGAGAGCTGGTCACACCTGTAATGCCAGCACTTTGGGAGGCCAAGGCAGGAGGATCACCTGAGGTCAGGAGTTCGAGACCAGCCTGGCCAACATGGTGAAACCCCGTCTCTACTAAAAATACAAAAATTAGAGAGGCATGGTGGCAGGCACCTGTAATCCCAGCTACTTGGGAGGCTGAGGCAGGAGAATCACTTGAACCCAGGAGGCAGAGATTGCAGTGAGCCAAGATCGCGCCACTACACTCCAGCCTGTGTGACAGGAGCAAGACTCCATTTCAAAAAACAATAAAAAATAAAATAAGAGGGTCATGCTATTACAAAAGAATAATTTTAAATATCATTATAGCTAATCACTAATAGAAAACGGTCCCTGTAAATAACAAAGAAAATAAAACCCTAATCCCTTGGTGGGGAGACAATTGAATGATGTTAGGAGCATTTATTCAACCAAGATCTATTTAAAACTCCAATTGGAAATTTAAGGTGTCAAGAAAAATGGAAGAGTGTGAATTTTGTTTTGTTTTACCTTCTTTTAAGTCATCATCATTAAGTTTGGAACTAAATTTCTATCGAGTCAAAATTTTTATGTTATCATATGTTATATTTTTTATATTTTATTATGTTTCTACTGGAAATATATAATAAACAAAGTTACTAAATTTGCCTATTGACCCATGCCACAGCCTTAAAATGGAAAGGCAAAACAGGCTGATAAAAGGACTGTCAGAATCACAGTGGACTCTTAAGAGGGTTAGCTCTACGTATGCTGGGAGAACCTACACTTCAGACTGGACACATGCAGACTACACAACCCAAATTTGAAGTCAAGGCCATGGCCAAGGTCATGGGCTCTGGGTAAGACAAACCTGGGCTCAGGTTCTTGCTTTCATACTAAACTGTGGCAAGATACTTAATTCCTTCTAGTTACTCATCTATAATTTGGGCATAAGAATAGTACCTACTTCACAGGGGCTCCACAAGGTTTAAAAAAGATAATGCATATAAAGTACTTAACAAAGTGCTTGCCTATGCAATAATAATGATGATGATAGTAATAGTAATAATACTGCTTTGACAACCCCGACTTCTACATGAAAACCATTCTAATCAGTATATTCTGGCTCACAGTCTGTTTATGAAATGCTTAATTCACAGCATTATGTTCACATCCAGGTACAGCTTCTATAAAGTGACAGCTCTTTGGATCAATCAGTAATTTTTTAAATGAATTCAGGGAGAAGGGTGTTGAAAAATCAGCCTTTCACTAGTAGTGAGTTGAGAAGGATCTGGTCCTTCACCCATGATTCATCCACCGGTGAAAGTCTTGCTGGTGAAAATCATGACACCATCACCTTCCACACCCCTCCCTGCCAAAACTGTAAAAGTATTTTATTAAAGCACAGAAGCAAAGAGACAAGATGGCTTACAGGAGAAAAAGGCAAACTCTACTACTCCCCAGAAAGAAAATGACTTGACCCCACCACCACCAAACTGACATTCTGCAAAAGAGAACAAGGCAGCCCTCACTTCCAGAAGTTGAGTTAACTGTCAGAACTAAAAGAATCCCTTCTATTCATGTGACTCCCCATAAAGAACGTTTGCCGGCTTCAAAAATATCTTATAAATCCATCCAGTAGAGCCAAGACCCAAGTACTGTATACTGAGAAACAATGTGACTTTACAAGGACAAGAGTGACCATAGGAGACAAAGTGCCACACCCTTTTCCGGATAGCTCAACGGCACATGGTGTCTCTTATAAAGACTGCAATTCTGGAGAAATAGGTGGGCAATTCTAACACCCCCTGCCCCAATTCCTTCTTTACACAGATTCATTTTCATTTTTAAGCCAATGGCCTTGGCATCCGCAACTACTACAACTAATAATCAGTGGGGTGGTGGGTAAGGGATGGGGAGGACAAGGAAACACGGGTCAAATATACTTGCTTCTAAAAGTCCATTTTCAAAGAGTTTTCTTCCCGCTTGTCTGCCTCTCACAGCTGGATCCCCATACCAGGTGGAAACCAATGGTTAAGTAAAACCACTGATTTAAAGAGCCAACCAGGAAACTAACCATGACAAGTGGGAGCTGCCCTCCTCTCCCGAGCATTGATTGGTTCTTTGGGTTCCACTGGTCCCCATTCTACCCACGTAAGTGGCAGGTGTGGCTGTCAATCACAGAGGGAACTGACAATTCACCGCTCCGGGAGTAAATTGCCTTTCATCCAGCAAAGGCAGGTAGCCGCCTAAAATCGATTGACTCCTAAAAGAGCGGACCCTCCCTCTCCGGCAAGAACAGAGACCCTTAAGTACAAAATAAATAAGGCAGGGCCGAACGGAGAGTTTACGAGCGCTATTTTATTACCCCGAACCAAAGCAGCTCTTAATCTTCACTGTCCTAAGATGATCTTTCAAAGGCTCGTACGGTATTTTTTTAAATTAGGTACACCTTCGTAAGAATCCCTTTTTTGTATAATTAGGAGATGGGGAGGAGGAGAGAAGGAATGCCGTTCAGTTCAATTTCACATCGTATTCCTTTTCATACACCATCCCCTAGCCCTCCCCATAAATCGGCTTCATTTTCCCTGACACGGGTTTTTTTTTTTTAAAAACACACGCTCCCCTCGGAGCCCACCCAGGCAGCCAGCCACCCCACCCCCTGGGCTGGGGCTCCACCTTTCTCCACTTTGTTCTGCTTGGGGTTGCTCAAGACCCCCGCCCCCGCTAATACCCCACCCCTCGAGGCAAGAGGGGACGCCAGGCAGAAAAGGGGGATCTGAGAGAAGAAAGGCGATGGCAGTGAGGGTGGCTGCCGGAGAGGGACTGCGGGAGGTGGCCCGGGCCGCCGGGGCTAGCGAGCGGCGCCCGCGCGCCGGAGGAAACCGTGCACTTGTTCCAATCCGGGGGTTTAGACATCAAGGCAAATCCTCCCTTAGGCCGCCCCATCCCTTCCCCCGCCCGAGAAAGCCCCGGAGGAGGCGGATGGTTCACCCCTAGGCTCCCCACGATAACGCATTGCAGCTCCCCACAAGCGAGGGGGACCCGGCACGAGGGATGCCCGGGCACGGGTACCCCGAGGGAGCTGGGCACCAGGCGGCCCAGACCCCAGCGTCGGCGTCTCACCTTTCGGATGCTCGCCCCGGGGCCGTCCCACATGGATTTTTACAACCTCTCGTCGCCTTGGCCCCGGGCGGCTGGGAGAAGCAGGAGCCGGCGCCGGAGCCGGAGACCCAGCGAGCAGGAGCGGGAGGCGGAGGAAGAGGAGGAGAAGCGGGGCGGGGAACCGGGAGGGAGGAAAGAAGGGAAGGAGGAGGACACCGCTCGGAGGGCCGGGGCCAGGCGCGGGGCCGGGCGGGGCCGGCGGCCGAGGGGGCGGCACCCGCCGCAGTCCCGAGACGCGCGCTCGCGCGGCGCTGCCAGGCGCTGCGCTCGGCGGGGCCCCCACCCGGCGGCGACAACGCCTCGCCCGCTCGCGGAGGCCCTGACTCACATTCCCAGCATTCCCGAGGAGCCCGCTAGGGGGCCGGGGCTGGCCTGGGCGCCTCCGCTGGGGGCAGCAGAAAGCGCACGGCATGGGCAGGGGTCTTCGCAGCGCCTCCTCCCGGCAGGCCGCGCGGGCGAAGCACCTGGCCCCCATCTTCTGTCCCGCACGCCCCTTCCCGGGTACCCCTCCCAAAAGCTGCCAGGCACTCCCGGAACTTGTCATGTGGCTTTGGTGACAGAGGCAGGGATGGCACTTACTTTTAAGTTAAGCATTGGAGTAGGGGTCGTGGTTACCATACCCTGGCACCGTCCATCAGCTTTAATGTTCCTTAGGAGGTTGAAAGGATTTCATAAGATCTTTACTTTCTTGTTCTCCCAAAGACAAGACAGAATAAAAAGATATAGACGGGAACAGAGAAAAGATCGTATCCGTCATATTCATTGGGTGCCTCTTCTGTGCCCTGAAATGTGCTTGCATTGTCCCAATTTAAGGTAGAAAGATGATATCTGAGTTGATACGCGCGCACACAGGCACACACACACGCACGCACACACACCGCGCACACACCACACACCTCAAGGTAATGAGCAAGAGGATTTGGACAAGTTTTTCATTGGAAAAAGCTTCCACTCAACAAGTCTGGAACCCCAACTGTGCCATTTTATATTAGGGGAGGGTACTGGGATAGCCATGGGCATCTTTAAACTTGGTCCTCTTCACTGAGTATCAATTGCAGGGATAGGGCAGTCATTCCTTCCTGTCGCTGATGAGTCTGCTTCCAGCAATTTCAGTGGCCAGATCTAAATTTCTCCTGCTGGGAAGCTCAGACAAATAAAGCAAATCCAGCCGTGGGATGTTTGGGTGCGCAGAGGCATAAATTAGTAACAGCGATTAGTGGATGATTGACTCCTTCTTTCCTCCAAGCTGGTGGGAATCAATTTTTATTTTATTTTTTTTATTTTTTTGAGACAGAGTCTTGGCTCTGTTGCCCAGGCTGGGTGCAGTGGTGTGATTATCTCACCGCGCTCCTGCCAAACCTCCCGCCTCCTGGGTTCAAGCAATTCTCCTGCTTCTGCCTCCTAAGTAGCTGGGATTACAGGAGTCCATCACTATGCCCATCTAATTTTTGTATTTTTAGTACAGATGGGGTTTCACCGTCTTGGCCAGGCTGATCTTGAACTCCTGACCTCAAATGATCCACTGACCTCAAGCTTCTCAAAATGCTGGCCTTACAGGCATGAGCCACAGAGCCCGGCCGGAATTCAAATATTAAATGATTCCTGCTCAGGGAATCAGACTCTGAGAGACAAGGATGCCTTCCTGTTCCTGCCCAAATGCCTGTTCCTTAAGCCTGTACACCTCTGGTGCCTAAGGTTTTTCATAGACTCTCCTTGCCCTCATCCTCTTCTTTCTCTCTCTAAGAAATCAACACTCATTCTCCTGACCTAGATGCTGCAGGGGCAAAACCAAGCTCCATCTATTGTGTTTTGTTCCCCGCATACATCCTTGACAGCCTCTGCTCAAAAGGTTTGTTGTATATGAGAGGCTTGTTGAGAGTCCTTTGAGAATTCCTAAAATCCCATATCTTTTGAAACGTGGCCAACATTTTTTAGTACCCCCCTCTGTGCGGGCACTTACATTTTCTCAACTATTCTCACAAAAATTCTATAAGATGTTTACCGTCTTTCAGAAAAGTTGAGTAACATACCCAGGGTGATTCTATGAAGAATTTATTTAAATCAATGCCTGAGGTTCACTCTGGTTGGCCACCCATTCTCTTTTCCTTTGATTCATGGGTTTTAAAAGGAATCCTTGACATTTGGGGGACAATTTGTTATATACATGCTTGTGTACATTTTTCCCACAAAGAGAAGATTCATGGTTCTCAACAGATTTCTTTCAAATTGGGTCCTTGACCCAGAAAAAGTTAAGAATAATTACTTTAAATAGAAAGTGACTCTACATAGTAAAACAAGAGTGGAAGTTATAGGAATCTTAAGCAAGTCATCTTTATCCTCACTGGGACTTAGTTTTCTGAAAATAAAAAGCTGAACTAAAGAATCTTAAGATTGCTCTCAACGCTAACATTTTCTAACTTTAGGTTAAAATACACATATATGTGTGTATATGTGCACAAATACACACACACACACCTCCTCTCAATATGCTAACAAGTAGCCATTGTGAGATCTAACCCTTCAGGACAGAAAATTCTAAAACATATTGTATTTTCTAAAACATGGTCCGTTGCTCCAGGGTTTTTTGTTGTCATGGTGGTTTGGTTTGGTTTGTGTTGTTTTGACAGTTATTGATGTCTTTCTTCATCCTGGCAAGCTCTTCTCAAGTAAGTCAGAGAGAGCATACTTTCATGGCAGATATTTTTTCTCACATATTCATTCATTCATTCAACAAATACTTGTTGAGCATCTACTTTCTGCTAGGTCCTGTGGGTTCAGAGCCCCTGCCTCAAGGGCTGTACAATTTAGTGACAGAGACAAACAAGAAGCAGGCAATAACAATGCCGCCTATGAAGGAACAAAGTTCTGGGAACTGCAGGAACATGCAGGAAGAATAACCAACTATTCCCCTGGAGTTTAGAAAAAGTTTTCCCGAGGAAATGTCAACTTTGTTGCCACATCCAACTTTGTTGCCCTACGGTGTGCTCAGCCTGGAGTGGCAGCTATTATAGATGGGAGCTGTGGTGGACACCTGCCCCTGGATGAGCCATGACAGGCTCTCCCTCCAGTATTTCAAATTGAGCTTGAAGAATGAGTCAGTCAGCTGGCATTGAATAGTGAGAGTGTAGACTGTGGTGGCCCAAATTAGAACTATGGCACCAAAAACCATGATGCCAAAGTCATCACGAAGTAAGTTCTAAGACCCTTGCCAAGGAAGCTGGTCTGTAAAGAGAACAGCCAGCCATGTAGACAGAAATGAGATTTCTAAAGACCTAAAGAACTTGGACATCTACCTGCTTATTTGACTTCCCCATTGTGAGTATCTAACCAGCATCTCAAACTTGATTTTTATGCACCAAGTCTCCTCTCTCCCAAGGTCACCCATCAGGATAATGACATCACCAATCATCCTGTTGCTCAGGTCCAAACCTAGGAGTATCATTAATTCCTCCTTTTGCTTATACCACACGTTTACACCATCAGCCAGTTCTATCGGCTCTACTTGGGTCTGAGCCAAGCCACATAAGAGCCTGAAGCAAAAGAAAAACTGTGTACCCCTACATATTTTTTGAACCAAATAGAAAAAGTTAATCTCTACAATGAAAAAGCATGACTATATATAAAAGCACCATAATGCCCAATCAGTTCTCCTGTGATTGTTAACCCTCATAAGCCTGCCAGTGTGGGATTATGATAGCCAAGTGGCCTTGGAACTGAGCACAGGTTGGAAACAACTGTTCTTGTTGCACAGTGAAGAAGGGTCATAAAACAACAACCTGTGTTGGTTTTGTTTCTGTTTCTTTGGATTTTTTGCATTCATTTTGAATATAGTAATAGCAACGAAGAACAAATATCGATTAGACAAAATTGATACTATGTGCTAGGCCCTGTTCTAAGCTCTTTGTGTGCGTTAACTGACTTATTCCTCACAATCGACCTAAAATATACCATTATTATACCTATTTTACCAACAAAGGCGCTGAGGCACCTGTAGTAAGGTAATTTACCAGGACCACACAGCTAAATCATTGCAGGGCTGAAATTCTAACCCAAGAAGTCTGACTCCAGAACAAACAAGGTAAAATAAACTGGACTTGGTGAGCAATTGGCTATGGTCAAGAGAGAGGAGTCAAAAATGCTCCCAGGAGTCTGGTTTGGGTAGCTGGGTGGATAATGTGCCATTCACTAAAACTAGAAATAAAGGTTGGGGGAGGAGTATAGGTTTATGGAACGTTTATAGATCATATGGGAAACCCAATTATGAACAGTTTATGGGTTCAATTTGAGGCTTTTCATATTTGAGATGCCAAGGACCTCATGGTAGAGATGTCCAGAACATGGCAGTTTCAATGTGCTTTGAAGTCAGACAACAGATACTTGATAAAGACAGTATATGGGAGTCACCAAGTTTGGTGATTAGAGTCCTGGGCATAGCCGAGTAACCCAGAACAGTAATTGGCATGTCCACAGGGAGAATCTAGTTAAATAAGAAACAAAATCCCTAAACAACTTATAATTGTCTGTTCTTCTTAGGTCTGAGGTCATTTGTGCAAGTCTTAACAGGGTAGATTTTAGCTCAAAAGAAACATGATTGGACTGCCACTTTAAAACAAAACAAAACACCTAATTAACTGACCCACCACCACAACAGGTGGACTGGAAAAAAATCACCTGATCCTTTGGAAACCAACAATTGGTTCCATTAAACCATTCAAATTATATTTGCCAGGAATGTTTTAAGATCTTTGTAGGTTTTAAGCATCATAGCAAACATATCAAAATCCAGCACCATCAAAAATATATATTTTTTGGCTGCACATGGTAGCTCACATCTGTAATCCAGCACTTTGGGAGGCCAAGGCAGGAGGATCACTCGAGCCCAGGAGGTCAAGGCTGCAGTAAGCTGTGATCCCACCACTGCACTCCAGCGTAAGTGACAGAATAAGACTCTGTAAAAATATATATATATGTGTATATATATATACATACACACACACACATTTGTTTTTCTGTGAAAATGTTTGAAAGTTTTTAAAATTATTTGAGCAAGAACAAATCATTGTATTTACTTGTGGCTATGGTTGTCCAAAATCATTAAGCATACTCAGAGACTATTATAAGGTGAGAAGAA